AGGATTCAAACCTGGGACCTCAGTTCGGAAACCAAGCACTTTACCGCTCAGCTACCACACCTCCGATCCATGTTAACACTTTGTATATGAGTTATATATCTTTTAAAGTCATTCCCATTTGTTTCCTAACATCATTGCTTATTGCTTTAGACTTTGTTAATGTTTTCAGTTTCACTTTTTTTTTTAGATTCTCAAATTATAAATCATGAAAACCAGATAGAAATATGTTTTATTCATATAACTAGTCGACTCACGGCGTAGCATACGCCGTTATTTTGCAGGGCTGGCCTCAGGCCAATGTAACCTATCTCCAGAAATTATTAAAATTCTTTTGAAAACTCATATAAATCTCATGAAATATATAGACAAAAATTGTCATTTTGGGGTGTCTTTCAATATGAAAACGCCAATCCTAGGCGCGATAAGTAAAAACAGCATTATGCATTCGAGACTAAAACTATGTGGGGTAGAAATAAAAAAGTGATATTTCTATGACTTCTTCGTCACAACTGTTAAGTCTGGCCCTGCTATTTTGTGATGGGTAAATACTACTTATTCCCCCCCCCCCCCCCTCTTTGTTTTTTTGTAGGGTAACTCTAGTTCGTCTGGCTTGCAGAAATAAAAGAGTGATCTTTCCTTTACGTGGTGTCCAAACTCTTGAGCCATGAAGAGAATTATATATATATATAATACCCATTTTAAAGAAAAATAAACCATCTGGGGACCCAAAAAGTTATAGACCAATATCTCTAACATCCAACATTGGCAAAATGGCAGAAAAAATTATCAATAACCGACTTTATTGGTGGCTAGAAAGTACTTGCTCACTCCACAATGCACAAGCTGGCTTCAGGAAAGCAAGTAGAACAGAAGACCACCTCTTTCGTTTTATCCAGGACACAGTAGAAGGGTTTCATGAAAACAGCACACTACAGCAGTATTTATAGATTTGCAGCAAGCCTATGATAGAGTGTGGAGAAAAGGTATATTTTTGAAGATGAAAAAAATGGGCATCCATGGAAAAATGTACAGCTGGATCAGGGCATTCTTAAAAAACAGAACCATCCAAACCCGATTTGAAGGTGCCATCTTTAGTAAAAAAAAGTTTGGAAGAAGGACTACCACAAGGTTCAGCCCTTAGCTGCACTCTCTTTCTAATCTTCATGAATGACCTCCCGGACCTCATTTCGGTCAATAAGGCACTTATGCAGACGACCTTTTAATTTGGACTATAGAGAAATATCCAGTGCTGACTAGATCCAAACTAAATAGAGCTCTCACAACTATCTCCACATATTCAAAATTATGGAAAATGGAAATAAACAAAGAAAAGACAGTTTATTCAATCTTTAGCCACAGCAACAAAACAGCAAAAAGAAACTACATCCTAAAAATAGACTCACAGCCAATAAATTAAGAAGAAAATCCAACATATCTTGGTGTAAAACTAGATCAAAGACTGTCTCTAAAACACTTTATGGCAGATTTAAAAGAAAAAGCATCACAAAGATTAAACTTAATAAAACACCTAGCAGGAACATCCTGGGGAGCTGAAAAGAAAACCTTAAGACAGTTATATACTGGATACTTCAGATCTGTAATGGATAACTGTCTCTCCATACGAGTAGCTGCCAACAAAACCTATCAATTATCATTAGATACAATCCAAAACCAAGCCTTGCGGCTAATTAGTGGAGGTATGAGAACTACCCCCACAGCAGCCTGTGAAATAGACTCCAATATTGATCCTCTTTAGTTAAGGCGCAACAGAGCAGCATTAGAAGCTATTGAGAGATACAGAAGGTTGGAGGACGATCATCCAAATAAATTACTAACACAGAGAAATAGGAAAAACAACCAAAAAAAGCAAAGGACTCTGATCCAACTGACTGACGAACTAGCCCTAAAACACCACCTACCCAATAACAGAGAAAAAATTACCAGATTTTGAAACATTACACCTGGACTAAACTACAAATAACCAACCATCAAAACACATTTACTAAATAACACCTTAACAAAAGAATCAAATCCACTGGAGCTCAAAGTAGGCACGCTTGAAACAATTGAAAGCTATCAAAAAACAGCTATCCATATTTATACAGACGGATCGGCTTTCAAAGCCACCATCAATGCTGGTCTTGGTGCCTTCCTGGTTTTCCCTAAAAATAAACACTTTGAGATAAGCACACCCTGTGGCGATTACTGCTCAAACTTCCAAGCCGAAATCGAGGCAATCACCATAGCACTACAGACAGTGGAAAACAAATTATATGAAGGAGTGCAACCACCATCAGATATTGTTGTCTTTACAGACTCCCAATCTACTCTGCAAGCACTTAATAGCAGCACCTCAAAACAGCCCAAGAGAGTTGACAACACTCATTGTGATAATCCATCAGATGATATCAAAATTAAATATCAATATCACACTACAGTGGATCCCTGGACACATTGGCATCATGGAAAATGAAAAGGCGGATAAGCTATCAAAGGCAGGTTCATCTATGGAACAAACTACCTCACCCTAAGGTCAATGTTAGTCAACAATCACAAAGAGGAGTGGCTCAACCAATGGGCATCAGGAAACACAGGCAGAGCCATGTACAAAGAAATGACTACGCCTAACAAACTGGACAGTATTAACTTCCTCCCCCGCAAAGAACAATCTACAATCTTCCAACTAAGAACAGGACACACACCACTATTAAATTACCACCTGAACAAAAAAACTCCTCACAACTCCCCCTTTGCAGACACTGCGCCCACCCCTTTGAAACCGTAAACCATATCCTCTTTGAATGCCCCTCCCTAATCCACCTTAGGCAGACCCTACTTCCACTACAGCCCAACATAACCAACACCCTGTATGGCAGTGCTGAACAACTGAAGAAAACAGCACACTTTTTTCCTTGGCACAGTCTGCAAAAGAGCTCACAGCTCAGCAGCAATAAAGCTGGCTAGAAGAAGAAGAAGAAGAATATATATATAGATAGATAGATTAATATCATCTTTAGCTAGATTAAATCAAAAGCAGTTCTATGTAACATGTTTATTTGTTGTTGGTACATTGCTCTGGTCCATGTGCATTGAACCTGTTGTTCTTTTGTTTCCAAAGGAGGATGAGCTGAAAAAGTCTGTTCTTGTTGTGTTTGCCAATAAACAAGATATAGAGGGCGCCATGACAGTCACTGAAGTTGCCAACTCTTTAGGTTTGCCTGCACTTAAAAATAGAAAATACCAAATATTTAAAACTTCAGCCATCAAAGGAGAAGGTTTAGATGAAGCCATGGAATGGTAATTTAACTTTTTTTTTGTTTGTTAAAATGCTTGTAGTTGGAAATATTCTTTTTGACAATATGGTTAATAAATAAATCACGCATTGAAAGATTTGCATTAGTTTCTACTTGTTCAGCACCATGATAGGTATTCCTCCTGAAATTAATCTTATACATATGTTCACTTCTTATCTCTCTGTTTGAAGGTTAGGTTTAAACAAAAATGTACCCATAAAAAAGACCATACTATATTTTGGATTTAGAAAGTAGCAGCTGATCCAATTTATCATGAAAAAGCACAAACATTATGTTGTCAATATTTAAATGTCTAAATTTGTAAATGTATGTATTGTGTTTCTTTGTCCAGGCTGACCAACACATTAGTGCAAGCCAAGTGAGTGCTAGGGAACTGTATACATCATTGAATTCTAAAACAGATTTACTGAGCTACAGAATGTAGAAACATTTAGGTTGACTGTACCACTTGACTGACGGATTGTGTCCCATGATGGAGATCACTTATGAAAGACAGAAGATAATTTTATACTTTCATCCTTTTTTTCTATTTTACTAGTTAATTGAGAAATAAAGTAGAACTGATAGGCTAATTAATTGTCCTTATAACACATATTGTGCACACTTTTCTTGTAGTCTATATTCATTATGCCCAATGGTTACACCCTAGATGGACTGAGATGAAAAAATAGCACTTATATTTTCTTTTTTTCAATGTTCTATTCCCTCTGGGCATTTTGAAATGATCCTCTCTTCTGCCACAAACTATTTACACACTTTGCTATATCGACACCTCATTATTGGCAATTCATTTTTGGCGAGAGAAATTGATAACCTCCATGAGATTTGGCTTGTATAATGAGTACAGTCCCATAGGAAAAGTAAATAGATTAGCATTAGTCTTTGACAGTATCATTCTGCAGTGCATTGGCCCATCTTGTGGCTTGATGATGTAAATAATAGTTTTTTTTTTATAAATGTTGTACCAAGTTTCTTTTGATAAAGAATGTTTGTGTTTAGAGTAAATTTTCCTTAATCATTCACAGCACACAACTGTGTGTATTGGAACAAATCTTTGGGTTGTAAAAGAGACAGAATGTCTGTTTTATATTATGTACATTGGGGTTATCTGCAAATGTTGGTTTGTTTTGTTTTTTTTTGTTTAGATATGTGTGAATATAATTAGATTATTAATTAATTATTAATTTTTCTTTAAATGCTTGCCATATTTATATTTATCAATGCTGAAAAATGTATTAACCGTTAAATTGAAAAATAGCAGAATTATTTTTTGCAGTGGTGCAGGTTATTGTAGCTGAAATTAATTTTCTTACAAAATCACTTACCTAGAAAGACATCTTTGTTTGCATATTGTTTTTTTATTAGCTGATTAATTTTTATAAATTAACAATATCAGTCTATAATGATACTGATGTTGTTATCTTTGCTATTTTCTTAGCAAAAGAATGGTAAGGCTGAAAATGTGCAGTAACGACCAGAAAACCAGAAAATTGGCTTTATATTCTCTTATCAAACAATTGAATTTGTTGTGTAATTTAGAAATGTGTTATTAACTTGTTCTATTTCCACAAGAAGGTTTTTTCAGTACAGAACAACTCTCTTCTCACCATATTATGTACCATGTGATATATATATATATATATATATATATATATATATATATATATATATATATATATATATATATATATATATATATATATATATATAGTTAACTAAGGAACTTTATGGTATACAATAGTATTTAATTGTATTTTAAGTGTAGCTATTATTTATTGTTAGAATTAGGCTGATATGACATAAATGGAATAATAATTAAATTGTTAACGTACATAGATATTTAAATGTGTTTATCCTTAAAATATTGTTCTAACACAATAAATATATATGGTTTTGATTACTTATGTCACATGCATATTTATTTATTAGATACTTGAAAGCAAACTTTGGCTTCATTACCAATAAAAAGCCCTGTTATTTGTGATTTAAGCCATACTTCCCTTTCAGTGCTGCTCTTTGTTTATTGTCATTAAACTCACTGGTTCATAGTAGTCTACCCTTGTGAAAAACATGGAATAAGCCAGATTTGTTGACATTTTTGTCCAGATATCAGATTCTGATAAGTATGTTTTCTCTTGAAATTTATGAGACTCACTCATCATTTATTTGATTGTCTTGACAATGTTTTCAGGCAACATGTGTAAATATCACTTGTGCATTTTTTTTTTCTCATATTAATTTTGATTATTGAAATAACGAAATTTGGCAATACATTATAGTGGAGAAAATATTTATGTTTGTTATGTCTTTTTTTTTTTTTTTTTTTTTTTTTTTTTAAGCCTGCTATTCAGTTTTTCTCAGACAAACATATTACATTATGTTATTTTATGTCCAACACCCTGACAAAAAGAAACTCAATATTTCTTACAAAAAAAAAAAAAAATTATTCTATTTTTTTTTTGTTCCAAAAGATTTGATTTTTTAATATTTTTATAATATGGGCCTTAAAGGTTTTATTTTTAATGAGAAAAGGAATTTGCAACCACTATTAGTACATCAGTTATGTCTATAAAATAAATGTTTATTACATGTAATGTGCATCAGTATATGTAGGCTGGTATTAATTTTTTTTTCTCCATATAGTATCTATTTATAAATATTGATCAATTGACTATGGGCTAAATACTAATAAGATTTTTTTTTATTTAAGAAAATGAAAAAAAAAGTGAATGGATAAATTTAAAAATATTTACTAAACACAAACATGACACTGAGTACTCTCTCTTATAAACAATATATGTGCATTTATACAAGGTCCAAATAGATAGTGTTGACATGTTTGAAGTCCTGCAGTCTCATTACAACTTCTATTAGTGTTACTGAGATTGATACTGTTGTTTTTGTGGGCATTGTCATTGATTGATGTTAATTCTAAGCACTCTTGAAATAATTCAGATTAAGGCTGTTAACTGTGAAGTTTGCTAAAGAGGTCTCTGCAGTCAACAAATCATGTCACAATATCCAAGGGTTAGAGCTAAACTAAGTCACAAACCATTTTTTTCCCTCTATTATAAACTTGTATCAACATAGAGCAAAATCAATCATTACAAGGAATACAGGCACAGGATATATTTGTATAGATAGAAGAGTAGTAGTATTGACTTGTTTGAGCTAACTGCATGGCATCTAAAGGGAGCTCACTAGAGCACAGGCTGACAGTTCCTAGACAAAAGTGGGTGAAAAACAATAAAAAGAAAGACAAAAAAAAAAGCACACGTAAAATAATAAATTTATTACACTCTCACTCCGGCAACTTTAGATAAGGAGCTCTTCACTGTATGTACATAAGAGACAGGTTTAACTGTACTACTAGCAATAGATAAACAGGGAAGCCCAAAAGAAGAGATGTAGGCTTTGGACAAAGACAGGTAAGAATGAAAAAATGTAATAGAATATCACAATTTCTTAAATAATGTTGTATAAATGAATTACATATCTTCAGTAATTTGTATTCTAAGTGGGTGTGTATAAGTTTTAGTCTTATTTTTTAAAAATAAAAACACATTTTATTCTGCCAATTAGAATGAGATTTTAATGCCATTCAAGAACAAGTAGTTCTTATGTTGGAAGTCACATTTTTAGTGTTCTCTAGATTTAGAACAATTTTGGCAAAGAAATTTGTTAATTAAAAATATCTAGCGTGATAAGTTGAAGTTAAATAATACATATGATACAAGTCTTGCAGCATTCATCTGGACAGATATCAACAACAAAAAAAAACCCAGTTAATTTTCTCTCTCACGTATACATTGACAATCTATGTGATCTCTTCAACTTGTTTTTTAACTGCACCAACTATAAGTTAAAGCTAAAGTTAAACAAAAATAATAATTCTGTAATGAAATTTTTTTTGAAAAAAATATTTTAAAACAAGTCAATTTTGGTATAAAAAATAAATAAAACCAGGCTCTCGAAATGGGATATTACAGAATTAAAGGGTTGACTAGTTTGTCTGGTTATTTATTCTGTTGTTCAACTTTCTGCAGCCTCTGCCTCTCCTTCTTCTTCACCTTCATGTTTCTCTTTAGGTTTCAGTTCATCACGCCAGTGTGGGTTTCCTTTGTCAGGCTAAATAGGAAACAAAACAAAAGATCGTAGTTACAACAAAATCATCACCAAACATAATAAGTTTAAGAAGCATAGGACTAGCCAAGTTGGCCAACAATATAAATCTCCTTTAACATCAACATGCTTACTAATTTGAAAGTATTATATTAATATGTTATTAAAAGAAATGACTTTTTTTGTTGTTGCTTTTTTGTGGCCAAGTAAAACGATGATAAAGTAAATACTAAAATAAAAAAAAAATTAAAGGTTTAAAAAAATCAAAGTAACAAAATAACTCATTTGATTAATTCTACTGATGTTAAAAGTACAAAGGGAAAGCATAAGATTGATGGCAATGAAGTTATCATGCAGGGTACCAGCTTCAAGGAAGTTTCCTTAAATTAATGCAGCAATAAACTAAACAAGAAATGAAATGACGTGGATTTGGAATGTCAAAAGTTAATATAAGAAGGATCTTCCACAATTGTATGAATACATCATATTTACAAATCAAAGCTTATGAGGTTTAAAATCATTGATTGAAGATTGCCTTTTTTGTTTCAATAGGAATTGTAGAAATCAACAGCATTAATACATTTATTTTAGAGAAATAGCTTTTACAGTATTAGGTCAGAGAGATCATGCCAGAGTGGAAGCAAGTATATTACTGACAGGTGACTTGATGTATACAGGAATAAGCACAGGTCAGGCTTTCATATTGGACAGCTTATAGATAATAGAACCACAAACATGGCTTAACAATAGCAGAAAAAGTTGTTTTTATCAAGCGCTGCAGGGAAGCTATATAGAAAATATATTGTAATTAATAGGATGACTAAATGTTTACTATACATTGTTTTGTAATGGAAATGACTGGTGGGGAATCAGGATGAAAAATCTATTGCTTCTGACACTGTTTCTGCTATCGATAACCCAGCCCTGAGTGGAGAATCAGTTAAGTCGTGCATATCAATACATGTAAAATAATTTAAAAGGAAATGAAAATGAAAAGCTTTCCCTAGAGTATGAGGGATATCCCTGAAGAAATTTTATGTAGAATTTTTTTTATATTAAAGTTCATAAAAACATTCTGTCATCCTATTAATGAATAAAAAGGTTTAAATGTTTTTTAAAATCCCTTTTTGTACAAAATAAACATTTTATGACACATTTTATATATCATTTATTTAAATTAAAAAATATTCACTTACAACTTATTGATAAAGCTAAAAATATTTTATAATAAAAAAATTGTAATGATAAATATGACATTCATGTTTAAGAATGGTATATGTTATTTCCTTGACCTTTAAAATGTATTTTATTAGTCATAATTCAAGACTTTGAAAGAGAGAATATTCTGGTTAGGCAAAGCTTTGCTTTTGACTTTGATTGTTGAATAGCATCAATAAATACAAAAATTAAAGAAAATTGCCATTGAATTGAGTACATTTAGGGACTACCTCATAATTTACTGTTACATCAGTGATGATGATGGGGCTGAAAATAGCAAGCATATCATGAACAGTCTGTGTCCTTTTTAATAAGGAAATAACATTTATTGGCTAAAACAAAAACTTGGAGACATTTTCAGAAAAAAAATGTTGCAGATATTTTTATGAAAATTGTATTTTGAAAATAAAATAAAAACTATAGAAATGTATAACCCCATAATGTTGTGGATATGTTTAAGTATGATCATTTTTTTTCAATTTGTTATTCATGATTACATACTTCTAACAAAATAAAACGTATTAAAAATTATCAGCTTTTAAATACTTTTAATACTCCAAAGCTGTTTAAAATATCCTAGTTACCAAATTTCCTTTTAATCATTAATTTTTCAGAAAAAGACAGAAAACAAAAAGAATCAGGGGATTTTAGGCTCTAGCTAATGGAGTGTTAACAAGACCCAATAGAGAACAATACAAATGATCCATGTCCTCATTGTGTAAAACTATATAAAGCATGAAAATTATTCACATTATTTTCTTATTTGTTTTTACAAATGTTTACATTAATTTATTTTGATAATAAAAATAGGCAATAGTTTTAAATATCATCACGCGACAAAAATATATTGAAAATATTTGGGGCTTGTTGAATTTGTGCTGAGGTTCAACTCAAAGTTGACAAGCATACTAACAGTGAATTAAAAAGATCACTAATTGATTATAACTATGTTTACATAGGTCAAGCTAGTTCTATGAATATGTTTAAAACAATACCAACATCCTTCCACCAAACTAAAACTAGATCTAGAGATGTGCAAACAAGTGGACGCTATTTTTCTCTCTTTTTAAATTAAAATTATGTTTATTAATCTAAAAACTAGTTTGGTAATAAATAATTATGTTACCGCATTGGACTTCTTCTGGGGGCAGTTGAAAAAAAAAAATCGCACTTGTTAGCATTTAAGTTTTCATTAACATTCAATTTGCATGTTAATAAATCACAATATTAATCATCAAATTAACTGGAACAAAAACAAATAAAATAATAATGCTTTGAGCTTGTGACTTAAAGAACAAAATACACTCATTACTTAAGGCTATCATAGCCAAATTAGAAAGAACTAAACCAAATAACACATGACTATGGGGCACACAATCACTCAGTTCCTACCTCATCCTCTTCAAGGGCATATTTATTTTGCCCTGTTGATTTTAAGTTGCCTCTGAAATCTGTGGACTCCTTTATCTGTTGAATCTTTTTAAGTCTGGGGATAAACAAGGTTTGATAAAAGTATTGTAGCTTTGGGTAAAACTTGCATTTTGTATATCAGGGTATAAAATAATGTATGAATGTTACTCTGCATCAAAAAGTAAGTAATAGTTGTATATGAACTCAAACTTAACATGCTTCAAAAAGTCATAAACAGAGTACAGAAGATAACACTGATATATGAGTAACATCTACAGGCTTAGCTTTTATATTTTTACAGAAAACAAAGGGAGAGGAGAACGAATACCATTTTGTTGTGCATATATCCAGTGGGTTATGCAAGTTTTTACAAATGAATGGCAGCTGTGAGGGGTATAGATCCGGGGCTTAAAAAAAATTATTTTACTCATAAAAAAAGCATAACAGAAAATATGAACATACAGATGGATCTTTATACCTTCTATAGTTGGCTATGTGGTTGTGAAATGTATATTGGAAAGCTTTATGAACATCTCATTA